AAGGGCACCAACTCTATAGGCTGGTGTTCATTATTATTTACATCGGACATTTTTTTCAGCAGCCGTTGCCATTATTAGACCGGGCACTGTAGATAATTGAAGTATATTCTGCCTTCACAGTACTAGACATCGTTATATTATAGTTATAAGTTTCGTTTTATTTGCCCTCATTGTCAGCTGTCATCCCTTGCTGTAAGTGTTCCCTATATAGTTCCATCTGTAAACAGCATGCCTAAGTTATTGTTTCTTGTCATCTCCCAGACGGCCTTACTTCTATAAGTCCTCTTAAAAAGCCAATTATCATTTCCAATTTGGAGAGCCATTTCTTACCAAAGTATCTTGGAATATTTAGTGGGTAAAACAATTCTCGTCAGCTTTTTTAAAATCTACGTTAGGTTTTCCAAACAATCGGCTTATTGTTGGTTTATTACTAAAATGTATATGCCAAATGTATAATTGATACAAAAGAAAAAAACGCAAAATTGGGCGACCAAATTTTTTCCAATGTCAAATATCTTGCCATTGCAAGAAAAGTACTCGTCAAGAATGCACAGTTCGTTTGTATTGAGACTCTTATTCAACCATTATCTAGGTTTGCTTGATAAGACATTCCATCAAGTGAAAAGATTGACACCAATACAAGAAAATATTTTCTTAGGCAAAGTAGGACGGAACTTGCGTGTGACCGTTAACTTTTGCGCTGATTCGTTGCCAACCGTCAGTCAACAGTAATAGGCGGAAGAACGTTTATTCACTACTTCCGTAAACGCATTCCTGGGAGATTGATTCTGCAATGCGGACTCACCGTACCGTTTATACGAATGATTATGGGCAATCAAACTTGCGGTTACTACAGTGTTGAGAAACTGCATAAAGGTAACGATGGTGATTTCACACACTTCCTCGCTCACTGCTTCATGGTTTCAAATTCGCTGGAGTACCTCCAAGACTTATTTCCATCGCCTTTTGAACAAGTTTAATTATGTAGGCAGCAGCCATAAGGAAACTCAAATAAAAACGTCCTTTTTACGATTTTTGCCTTTATTAGCTATGGTTTCTTCCTTTACTTCTGCATACGTTTGCTCCTTATAAGGTTTTTCTCCGAAATATCTTGCGAATCCTGGAGTCTGCTATTTGTGCCAATATTGAAGATATTTTCATGACTTCCAGGATTTGCGTATATTAACTTATTCTTTACATTTTTATCCCAGTTGACATAAGTTGTAACTTGACACCATAATTGCTTCAGCCGGTATTGGAACTTTCAGGGTTCAGGTGCTTGTAAAGGATAAATGGTTTCAACCTACTGCACGTGAAGCCGCATCGAAATTCCATATTAATGAAAATATTGTGACCGTTATATGTGTGGTGTTCATTTTCAGAAAATAATTGGACAATCATTCGCCTCCTATGTGGAAATCAACAAGGAACCAACTTGATGCAGGAAAATGAACTATGACTTTTCGACTCAGGGGGAGCTACAGCGTATCCGCGGCTGAAACTCCAGCGCAGTTTTCACTCCTCAAACCCATCACCTGTAATGTCGTCTTTCTGGATGATAAGTCGGAGCTCTTCAAGGTCGATGTAAGTCTCGTCGCCTTCGAGTGTTTTGTAGAAACATGCCCGAGGACAGTTGCTTTTGGACCTGGTGTTCGAATTCCTCGAGTTGCTGGAACGTGACTTCTTTGGCCTGCAGTTCAGTGACTATACATGTAATCCAGGACCAATTGTGGTGCGTGTCGGTGCTGTTTGATATTTATTTATTTTTGATAAATCCAACAGAGCGCGCCAAGTCTCTATGTGCGTACATAAAATGTATGTCAGTTATCGCCTTCCGCACTTATTCCCGGTTGCTATGCGACTGTCTGTGATGGCAACCAGGCCCTTACTGCCATGAGGGAGTTAAATAAATATTACCTAATGCATACCCGAGGGATTGACCTTTGGCAGCTATATTTCAGGCATAGCGTTTGTCCATCTTCCACATACTACGTAAAGCCTTTCCTCCGACGGAGAATGAACGGGCGAAACCTCAGCGGAAGTTTCTTTCTATATCTTTATGGTGGGCAAATGTGTTTATTAGATTTTACCTCATTATATCTTCGCTCAAGACTGCTTAACTGCCCACATAGTTTACAGCATCATGTGTACAGAACATGTTTATAGGGCAAAATATATTCACGTAGAAAACAAAAGGGCTACCGTTCGCTATCCGGTTATAGAGGCTTTGTCAGAACCAGATCTTTAAAATATTCCAAAAAACATAGGCGATATCGCAACAGTTTCCTTGACGAAGCCATCGGGACTTGCCTTACTCTATCAAAGTCAATTCTTAGAGCAGGAAGCAGACTTTCATGGGTTTTGCCAGTTTGAAAACCCAAATTACTCTCATAATAATAACACTTTCGTCTTCCTGAAATCAGAGCATGTTGACAGTAAACCCAGTCCTGTATTAAATGTTCCGCGCGGTAAAAGTCAAGAGAAGGAAAATAAGCCAAGGATGGCTTATTGTTAACGGTTAAATACGACAAACCCAGTAACTATAGCCGCTATTTGACGTTCAGGGCTTTAAACCCTATGCCATTAAAACATGGAATTATCGCACCAAAGTGTAGAGGAGAGTAGTTGGCTACTAATGATTACCCTGTTTCAAAGGCAACCAGAACCAAACCAATAAGCAGTGTATTAATAACATGTACATACCCTTTGTTTGCCTTCTTCCGAAGTCGTGGTTCATGCTTGTAAGACACTGTACAAATTAAAATCCGAATACTTGGTGACTTTTGCACGTGGTAGTGAATCGTCGGCCGATTTTGAGCCCCGCATTATAAAAGACCCAAACATTTCACTTGTGAAGGCCATATTACCAGAATTTCTTAAGATATGCTTCAAGTTACTCTCATTTTACTGTCGTTCTTATCCTATATGTCCCTTTCTAAAACGTGTTTGGCTCTCTTAAGTATATTTAGCATGAACACCTAAGGACCTTGTGTTTAGTGCCTTTATCGACGTCTGTTTGAGGTTTGTTTTTCTCGCGCAGACAGTGATGTAATGACTATTTGGTGTGGACAAAAAATTGAAATCCCTCTGATTGTAAATTCTGTTATTGAAAGGCTTGTTTTGTACTACGAAACATATTGATCCGAACTAACGTGCTGTTCTAGCAATGTCTTGCTGCCTAAAAGTGTAAGTAACTCATTCTGACCGGACAGCTGGATTGACTCAGTGTTGTTTAACCAAGCTTTCTAGATTTAAGAATGACAGTTGGCTCCAAATAGTTAGCAGTGAACAGCAGCACTCGTTGGCGAACGCTCACTGATAGCTAACAGAATGCACTCGTTCCGCTCTGCCTTAGATCTCATTCTCGGGTTCTGACAGCAGTCGCACAGTGGCTAGTAGTCTGGGCAGATAGTATTGCCGGCAGAGAAAAGAGCCTAGAATGACCATTTCTGGGTTATAAACCCTCGTCAGCCAGTCTTATCCAGACGCAGTCCTGCAGTGTTCAGGCAGAACCACCTGGCGACGGATCCGTCGGTAATTTTCCCCATTGGTTCTCGATCGCGCGCAATAGACCTCCACGACAACTCGCCAGATGTCACTTCTGTCGTAGTAACGGGCTTACTTGCAAAAACACTCCTCCTCCTACCCCGTCGGGGATCGCCGACGTCTGCGGTAGCGTGCAACTGCTATTCTCAATCAGTCAGACGACATTCTCACGCACAGTTGGTGGTGCTTCTGCTGGCGGCACACTCACCGGTCACGAAGGAAGCCGCTGGCGAATGCTAATAACCTACAGGACTGGTAGTATTGTTTTTAACAAGGCTAGCATGCAACGCTATTTGCTGTGGATTTTCCGATACTACGCGCCAGACGGTTAAGCACTGTCTGTTTGCATGCCAACTCGCGCCCTCGGTAAATGCAGCTTTGCGCGAGTGTTCATATGTGCGGCTGCAGAA